CTATAGTCAATTAGTCGAAATATTGTGTATCTTGTAACATATTTACAATAAGAAAGCGTCATTGAGATCCTTGGCGAATTTACATTATTAATAAATTAACGACGGAAAAACTTTCGAAACCAAGTAAAATACAATAATGTATAATACATAGTACATAATACATAGTACACATTCAGTACTATGAGCATTCAGTGTTAGTTGATACTGTTAATATTGGTGGTATTTTATAATTTGGTACTAGGTAGTGCGTAATTGTGAATTACAGTTAAATCTTTCGGTTTACACCCTGTGTGAATTTGTTTATTCCTGTACAGCTTTGTTTCCAATCGACATTCGATGGTGTTCAGATTCCCCTTTCAGGAACTGTTTCAGACTAAAGAACCTTGGTTCATATCATTTCAGTTTCAGATATGCCGTATTTACTCTACTTGAGCGCACCGCCTCATTACTTCCAGTCATTAGAGGGATACCGTTTATGCACCCTACAGTTCTATGGTATTTGAGCACCTGTCATACGCTCAGTCAATTCGGTGGGAAGCGGTAGTGGAAAGCTACTGTATGGTAGCTACCTCGGAGCATCGAGGTTATTTTTTGCCTATATATTTGAGAAGTTCGAACGCGCCGTTGTTCAGCACAGCTCAAAGATTCTGTCTTCCATTCTATTCTATGGAGCTCTAGCCTGTTTAAATTGTCTCCCAAAGCGAGTAGAAGCAAGGAAAGGTGCGTCCAAGTACATCCGGTATCAGAAACTGAAATGTTATGATTATCGATGGAATTGGAAAGCTGCAGTGTTGTAACTACCGCAGAACAAGGAGGTTATATTCTGTCTGTGGTTTTTGTCGTTTGGCAGTTTACAAGCAGCTATATGCTGCTAATTGGTTAGGTACCGTAAATAAGTAAAAGTATGTAAACAAAAGATTTAGCTGCTATAACTTCTTTATCTACATAGAAGCATAGGTGACATGAAGATGACTCGTCAAGATGACTGTTTGTAGCCGGCGCAGACTGCAGTCCGAAAGAAACTTGCAACCCGTTCAGAGTGTAGTTAAATAATTAAGTGAAAATTGTAGTCGATGATTCATCGAATCAAAGGCTGACTAAAGAGTATTTTCCTAGCAAAAAAGGTGACTTACAGAAACAGACACATTAAAAAGTGCAGCAATAATAGTTTGTTGTTCAAAATACCGGCTTCAGTGTTTATTGCGTAAATGGTGGATAGGGATGAGAGAGATTCCGTGCGATAGTCCGGCTTTCTACCATTTCAGCTGCTCGGATTTGTGTCCAAATGCTGGCATGAAATACGAACATTGAACTGACATGATATCGTGGTCTTATACTGTGTGTGATTCCGTTACGCAGTTACGGATGATGATATTGACAAAAGCATCGATATGTCGCCCAAAGTAAGATACTGGTCAGATGTATTTAAAACCCTTTTCATTAAACAGCTTTTTCATGTCTTAAAATGACTGTTCTTCGTCATAAAATACTGACCGTGCAACACGCGAGATTCAGTCTTTTGGTTCTAGTTCAAGACAGTGGGGTTGAGGGCTTTGAAATTGCGGAATAGAAGTAAACGCGGTAAAATGCTTCAGTTGAAGACGCATTGCGTGCGTCGGTAGTCATACTGAAAAAATAAACAATCACAAAATTCATTAATTATGCAGAACAGGCCTTCGAAGTAAAATGTACGCTGAGTTGTCTGCAGCAACTGGTTTAGTTCAAACCAAGGGTCGACCCGGTTGTTTTCGCTGCCCTTAAATATGTTCTTAATGTAATTGGCAGCCTCGACGACGCTCGACCAATGCTCGCAAAGTTCGTATCTTCTGTCGTGGTTAATTTTGCCACACGGCTGAACAATTAATGCCTTTTCGTTCCTGTTCAGCCAATTTTTTTATAAGGCACTGACTGGTAGAATGGAGATCCCAGTTCCATCATTAACTATGTGTACATGACTCCAGCATGAGGACCGACATTATAACGGTTGCAAACGTTTTTATGTTTCATATATGGTGGGGGGTTGGGCAGAGGGGTTACATTGTGCTCGAGCCTCTCCATTTGAGATATGGGTTGAAACACTGGTGTCGATCTGCTATTTTTGATAAACCACTGTATTGTTTTACATAATTGAACCGATTTGATGCTGTTTTTCAGCTTGTAGCATGTTATTTCACCAAATATAAATTTGATTAGCTTCTTCTGTGCATTTAGATTCTGTATTTTTCCATTTGCCATCGTTGGAAAAGCCAAATCAGACTGTTTACGGGGTTTCTTGTTATCGCCAGATCTCGTCGCAGACTCTGCTCAACAGGTCAGAAGATGTGACCCGCTGTACGGTGCAGAAAAGCGTTTGCGTTCTGTCGGTGCTGCCGCTTTACGGCTTGCTCAAGGCGGAGCTAGAAGCGATTACTCAGGTATACTTCAGCCAGTGTGACTTTGACAAGGTAGAGCTGCTGGCCGAAATGTACGAGCACCTGAAGCGGACAATCAACATCAGTGAGCTGAAGAATCGCGCGATGTACGGTACGTTTGGTCGATCGACTTTTATCTCCTCGAAATTAGTCCTTACCAATGTGTTCATTTATTCCACAGAACAGATATCTGTTTATTGTTATTGATGAAACAGTTTTCGTTTGAATGGACAGATGTCTGAGGGATACGGTACTCAGTAAAATTCAAGGGATTCGAGACACGGATGAGGCTCCCAAGCTTTTATAGGTCGCATCAGGCGTGGAAACGAAAGAAGGAAGAAGTAATAATATTTTTGTTAATAATGATAATAAAACTTGCGATAATAGTAGTTGTGGAAGTAGTAACTGTAGCCTCCTTATTAGTAATGGAAATCATATTTATGGTGGTAGTTTTTGCGTAGTAGAGGAAGTAATAACAAAAATAGACGTAACGGTG